TTATGGTGTTGTTGTTGTGTTGTTACCGTGTTGTTATCGTGTTGTTGTTGTGTTGTTACCGTGTTGTTGTTGTGTTGTTATCGTGTTGGTATGGTGTTGTTACTGTGTTGTTATCGTGTTGTTGTGTTGTTATTGTGTTGTTACCGTGTTGTTATTGTGTTGTTATTCATGCATATATATTATAATATTTTTGAATATTTGAAAGTATTTTGACAAATATTTTACTAATATATTTAAGTTTTTGTTATTTTATTTGTTTTAATTTTAATTTTATTTTGAAGTTACTCTTTATTTTTTAGTTATTTCAGTTTTAGTAGATCAAGTTAAACTAGACAAAGAAAGATGAGATAAGATGAGATGCGAAATTTTGCTTTTGCAGCTAGCTAAAATTGCATACACACACACTCACTCACACACACACACACACACACACACACACACATATATATATATATATATACAGTATTATATATATATATATAAAATATATATATATATATATATATGTATATATATATATATAAATGGACTGAATCCGTCTTTGACTTCCTGTTGAATTGGTTTGCATACAGCAGCGTCCCTCAGCTCTGCTAATGAGGCCCAGCGTAACGAACACCACTGACGGATTACGAGCCGCCGCGTGTCTAATTAGCAGAGCAGTGACCGCAGAAACGCTCGGTGATCAGCAGAGAGATGCAGGCGAGCGGCCGCTGCTCTGCAGCAAAGCATTGTGGGTCATTAGACTGCATGCTTAAGAAGAAGAGCTTAATTAGTCTGCGAGGGTCCTGGCCTTTGTGTCGACTCAATAACATACTGGCACAAAGGAGACAGAAATCACTGTTAAACAGCCATACAAAGAGTGTCGTTTGTTTGACTTTGTGCCACTGTGACCTTCCTAATGATAATTGGCTTGTAATTAATTTCTTTTTATTCATTTATTAAGTAATAAATGAAATAAATAATAAAGTAAACGCCCACTGCTGTGATTGGCTAATAGTTGTGTATGATTGACAGCGTAAATTCCTCACAGATGGACGCTGCTGTGATTTCGGTTAAAAACCGAATCGGTCGGTGGGGCTTAACAGGCAGCGATGTAGAATCAGTGGGTGGGACTAAAGAGGCAGTGATGTAGAATCGGTGGGTGGGGCTAAACAGGCAGTGCTGTAGAATCGGTAGGCGGACTAAACAAGCAGCAATGTAGAATCGGTGGGCGGGGCTTAACAGGCAGTGATGTAGAATCAGTGGGCGGGGCTTAACAGGCAGCGATGTAGAATCAGTGGGTGGGACTAAACAGGCAGTGATGTAGAATCGGTGGGCGGGGCTTAACAGGCAGTGATGTAGAATCAGTGGGCGGGGCTTAACAGGCAGCGATGTAGAATCAGTGGGTGGGACTAAACAGGCAGTGATGTAGAATCGGTGGGCGGGGCTTAACAGGCAGTGATGTAGAATCAGTGGGCGGGGCTTAACAGGCAGCGATGTAGAATCAGTGGGTGGGACTAAACAGGCAGTGATGTAGAATCGGTGGGCGGGGCTTAACAGGCAGTGATGTAGAATCAGTGGGCGGGGCTTAACAGGCAGCGATGTAGAATCAGTGGGTGGGACTAAACAGGCAGTGATGTAGAATCGGTGGGCGGTACTAAACAAGCAGTGATGTAGATCGGTGGGCGGGGCTAAAGAGGCAGCGATGTTGAAGCAGCGTTAATCATCTTCTGCGGAGGTGGTGCTTATCCACACTCTTACATCATAGAGTAGAACATTCCACAAGCTGTCATTTTGGCAGACTGCCTGCAAATGTTTCAGCATATTGAATAGGGCTTTTGCTGAAGGTTATTCTCACATGGAGTCGCTGTAATGAAAGCAGACACAAATGAAGGGATGCAAACAGCTGTAGAGAAGCTCTGAACGTCTGTGACGGAAGTGAACGGTGACTCAGGGTCTGTGACATTTGCAGAGCTCGTGTTCAGAGACGCTTTAGATGTGCTGCTGAACACAAGTCCGGGAACGTCAGAGAATCAAACTCTCCATCTCTCTGATTCATGACAAATGAATCAAATGTGCAGGTGGACGTTATGAGTGTAGATCTTAGCCTTCATCATCCATCCTCTTCCTCTATCAGCTTCAGCAAGAAACACTGGAGGAAAAGAACACTCATTTAATAATTTAATGTAATGCATTAATTTTCAGTTAGTTTCATTTAGCTTTTTTTTAATTGTTTTATATATTATTATTTTGCTTTAGTTTTTATTTTATTAATGTTTTATTTTAGTATTATTATTATTATTATTATTATTATTAAATTATTACATTTTTATTTTATTTTACTTTTCATTTCTTTTTTACTTTATTTTATTTTTTTATTTTATTTTAATTAACTTTTTATATTTTTTTACCTTTTTAATTTTATTCTTTTAATGTTTTTTTTACATTATCACATTATTATTATATTTTACTTTTTACATTTTTATTTATTTATTTTTATTTTAGAATATTTCTCACAAACTGTGGCTACTATCTGTGTGTTTGACTCTGACCAGCACTGGAGTGTCAGGGGGAGTGGCCAGTGCTTGTGTAGCCAATCAGAAACTGTCTCTGACTGTCCGTCATCCTGTAGATACAGATTTGGTTGTATTTTAATTTATTCAGAACTGTTTTTCAGAGTTTACTGATGTGAGTTTTGAAGAAAAGCTGAAGCTAGTGAAACACCTGAAATGATTTACATCACCTTCAACATGAGGGAAGATTGTAGGAGTCAATTGAGTTTCCTCACTCGTTCCCTCT